TCTGCCTCACTTGTCCTAGGGACTATTCTACCAAGATGCAATACAAAGTTTCCATGTAAAAGTACTCAATACAAAGCTAAAAACTTAAATGAGAGAATGATTAATAGAGATGTGTCTACATCTGCTGCAGGGAGACCCCTCTGCCTGCCTCCACTCCTGTTCCCCAGAGTCTACAGCCCCATTGCGAAGGAAAGAGGCTGAGGCCCATCAATGGGACTGAAGCAGTCATGAGCAAGCCATGCCCGGGGGCCATTCTCCTGTCCATTGCTGGTGCAGTGTTGCTTCAGGCACACTGAAATGCAGTCACCTCTAGGGTGGGCTGGACAGCTGTTCAACACCTGCACAAGGTTTCAGGAAGGGGGCAGTGCAGGCTGCCTTCCTGCAGAGCCCCCATCAGAACTACCGTGCTCTCCTGGCTTAGGAAAAGAATAAACAGGAGGATTGGAAATTAACCCACCCAGTCTCACGTCCCCTAGGCAGGGAATGAGCCATCTACATTAGGCCCCAGCTGGAGTATCATGTCCAGTTCTAGGTGCCACATTTCAGGAAATGTGGAGAAACTGGAGAAAGTCCAGAGAAGATCAACACAAATGATAAAAGGTCTAGAGAACATGAGATATGAGGCACGGCTGAAGAAATTGGCCTTGTTTACCTTGGAAAAGAGAAGACCAAAAAGGGACATGAGAGCAGCTTTCAAGTATCTAAAAGAGTATCATAAAGAGGAGGAAGAAAAATTGTTCTGCTTGACCTCTGAGGTTAGGATGAGAAGCAATGGGCTTAAATTGCAGCAAGGGAGGTTAGATTGGACATTAGGAAAAACTTCCTGCCTGTCAGAGTGGTTAAACACTGGAATAAATTGCCTAGTGAGATTGCAGAATCTCCATCACTGGAGATATTTAAAACCAGGTTAGATAGACACCTGTCAGGGATGAGTTAGGGCAACTCAACTTTGGAAGCCCCAGGGGCCACACTGATACTTATAGAACATGCTGAGGGCCTCAACTTAAGTGTGGTTGCATATGTAAGCAAATGTATACAAATAGCTTCTCTCACACTGACAGGCATGAATACAAAGATTAAGGCAAGACTATACAACACACAGGCCCCATTTAAATCAGTTCTGCTGATATTAATAAAATGCAATATTTACCCGATTTCTACCCATGTGACAGCACTTTTCATGA